TTTATCCATTCATCAGTTAATGGATATTTAGATTTCCATTTTAATGGATCAATAAATTCCTTTCTATGGTTAAGTATTTTTAAAATAGTGAAAGAGTTGTAATACAGATGGTTTTGAATCAAATATTGGAACACGTGATTTGATGAGTGGTGAGCGTGATTTGATGGACAGTAAATAAAATATGGGAACTTAAGACAGTCCTAGAAAATGAAGAAAGTATCATTTATGTAACAATGTGTATTAGACTTCATTTCACATTTGATGTTTCATAATTATAAATCATAATGTTTCATAATTATGACATGATGGCTTCAAGATTAGCAACTGGTGCCTTAAAAATTCTGCTCTGTTTATCACCTGCTAATCATCCACTTCTCTTTCACTTTCAGAGTCAATGAAGATAGTTTATGGTTGTCTGTGAAACAAGACTCAGATTCCTCACCCTCCTCTCCTGAAGGCTCTAAAAGAAGCACACATACTTTTTCAAATTTTATGAATGTTTTTACTGCTAACAACTATACAGAGATTAAATATCATAATCAATGTTCTCCAAGGATCATAAGAAATCTTTAAAAGCATTAGTTATAGTTGTCCCTGGTCATAATCTAAATATAAATGGGACTCAGGCTACTGTCTTCTAGTTCAATATCCCAATCTTTTTAAATGTGCTCTTGGGAGAGGGGGATCTGTTTGTCATAGAGGAGCTGGATTATATGACCTGTGTCCCTTGGAACTCTGAAAGTCTATAATCTTCATCAACTCCTCTGTTAACACCTTTCACAAGACGTTTAATCAGGTGTAGGAGAAAGAGCACAGACTTTGGAAGCCAGACAGACCTGGGTTTGAAACACAGTGTATTAATTTTCTGTAGCTGTGTAATAAATTGCCGCAAACTTAGTGGCATGAACACACACTAATTATCTCACAGTTTCTCTGGGTCTGGAGTTCAGGCATGGCTCAGCTGGGTTCTGTGCTTTAGGGCCTCACAAGGTTCTAATCAAGGGGTTAGCCAGGACTGGGTTCTCATCCAGAGGTTCAACTTCTAAGTTGAGTGACTAACTATTTGGATGTGTAGATTTACGTATTTCATCAAATTTGGGAAATTTTTGTCTGCTATTTCTTCAGACATTCTTTCTGCCCCCTTCCTTTCTCTCTTCTCCTTTTGGGGACTCCCATTATGTGTATGTTGGTACACCTGATGGCATCCCATACATCTTTTTTTTTTTTTTTTTAAGCTTCTCAAAGTGTGGTCCTTAGGTTAGAAGCATCAACATCCCCTGGGAAGTTTTCAGAAATGTACATTCTCAGGCCCTACCCCAGAGGCACTGAAGAAACTCTGGGGATGAGGCCCAGAAATCTGTGTTTTAACAAGCCCTCAGGCAATTCTGATGCATGCTAAAGTTGGAGCGCCACTGTTTTAGACAGTTTGAGTTTGTTGATTTAGGCTAGCCATGTATCTTTCAATTAATTGATTAAGCAATTAATTATAGTCACACACTGAACTCCTACTAAGTGCTAAGCAGTGGGATACAATGATAAGACACTACTTCCACACTAAATGATAGGACACAGTCCTTGCACTCACTGGATCACAAAGTGTTGTTAGGAAGGCTGCCACATAAACAAGTTATGAAAGGATATATATGCAAAAATGTAGTTGTGAATAGTTATTCTGGGAGCCCAAAGGAGGAGCACTGGACACAGAAATTCATCCTAAAACTGGAGTAGTATAAGCATTAGTTCTAGGCTGAGGTGAGAAAAAGCCCATAGAACCATAACGGTTTGAACAAAGGAGATGATGAGATAACAGAGTAGGTAGAAGTGTGGTGTTGAGCAACTTTCTCTACAGACTGGGAAGAATCCATTTCTACTCTGGCCCCTAAATCCAATGCCCTGTTGCTGAGCCAAGTACCTTTTTATCCTTATTAAAATGGAAGTATTTCAGGAAGTGATTACAAGGCAAGGTATATGTCATTTATCATTTAGTGTGAAAGAAGAATCTATGAGCGGATGAAAAATTTGTTATGGACAATTTCAAATATAAACAAAAGTAGAGAGAAGTGTATCATAAACTCATATGTATTTATAATCCAACTTTTCAGCTAGTTGGTGTGAGGACCAAATGAGATCATGTATGTGCCTTAGGCATAGCCTTACTCTCAGTAGGCTTTCAATAATGGCTTGTGCACCAGTCAGAGTTCAATCAAAACAGCAGAACCACTCACTAGACGTTAATTATAGGGATTTGACCTTATGCAACTGTTTGGGCTGGTTTCACAGTCTATGTGAGGCTGTTGTCTTTGTGCCTGGTGATGGAGCCCAGAGTCAGCAGGATGAGCTGGAACCTGCATCAATCTCGCACTGCCTCCAGGCCTCCAACTTCTAAGCTGAAGATGGTGTCTTTATCATGGAGGTAAATGTGCAGCTGGATCAGCAGGTGGAGTTGCTCAAGTAGGATCAGGCGGGAGCTGGAGGAACTATGGGCCTGGCTGCTGTCCCATGACAATAAGGTCTGCTTCAGATAAGTATGTGAGCTGCAAGAGAGCCTGGTACCCTGCAGTGACCTTTCGAACATAAAAAATGTGGCTGTGACATCACTTTTGCCTTCCAAATCTCATGCAAGATGTTTCCTGTGGCCTGCTACCCAGAATTATGCACAGAAGGGAATTCAGGGATATCTAGTTTCAGTTATCTATTACTGTGTAACAAACTACCCCCAAACCCAAAGCTTAAAACAGTAACAATCATTTATTTAGCTCAGGAAAACCAGTTTGGGCAGGGCTCAGTGAGAACCGCTCATCTGTGCTCTATTATGGTGTCAGCTAGGGTGGCTCCAAAGACTGGTCAAAGGCTGGCTGGAGACCGGAATCATCTGAAGGCTTACTCACTCCCACGTCTGGTGTTTGGTGCTAGCTGCCACCTGGAACAGCTGGCACTCTCTCTCTGTGTGGTCTCTCTGGCATGGCAGCTTCATGGCAGCCAGACTTCTTATTGGAGGTTCAGGATTCCAAAGATATATGCCAAGAGAGAGGGGGAGAGGGAGAGAGGGAGAGAAGCAGAAAGGGAGAGAGAGAGAGAGAGGGAGAGAGAGAGAGGGAGAAAGAGAGTGCACGCGCGTGTGCTGGAGAGATGGAATTTCTGTTCTGGTTCTGCCTTTTATTAGCTATGTCACTTTAAACTTTAAGCAGGTCATTTATTCTCTCTTAACTTCAGTTCTCAAATTTTAAAAATCAGGACTTTTTTAGGGGTGGCCCAGAAGAAGACCGTGATGCAATAATTTGAGTGAAAGTAGTTTATTTGGGGATTAATCCCAGCAAATATCAGAAGGGGGCTGGGAAGGATACATGGAAAGGAAGGAAGCCAGTAAAAACTACTCAGTCAAGCAAGTTACCCCTGTGGGCAACTGAACTTAAAACCTCTAGGGAACCCTGGGGAAACACTGTAGAATCTGTCTCAGAGCTATCTCACCCAAGGGTTGAGGGAGCTGGGCTATTTATACATCAGAGATTGGTTGAGGACTCTGTGGGGACATTAATGCCCCAGGACCTTTGGCCTGCTGAGTTCCATGCAGGTCGGAAAAACCCTCAGGCAAAGAGATACAGGTGCTGTTGGAGGAAAGTTAAGCAGATTTTCACTGAAAATAGTTAAGAGCTAAGGGATATGAACAGGGCACCAAAAAGTTTTGCTACAGAGGATATTGGTTGTTTTTTAAGGTTGTTGAGTAATTAAAATGAGATGATGAACAATGCACTCCTGGTGCGATGGCTCCTCTCCTTGCTTTGGATCCCCCTCACAGGATTCAAGAGAGGCCCTCAGAAGTCCTAAAGCTTTCAACACTCCCCACATCACCACTGTCAACCTCCTAAAAGACAATCTCAAGAAATGGCAATAACATAAACGGATTACCCACCTCTCTCAATGGACTTCACAGCTGATTCTGTTAAATTCTACCTATACCTCTAATAACCTGTCACTCATAGGAGCTCAGACTTCCCCTGTGGTTCCTCATAACTGAGGCATATCCACAGAAGGCTAGCTGCCTTCCTTAATCCTACTTAAGCTCCCACTCCTTCCAGAAACCCCACTATCTACCTGTGTTCTGGAACTCATGATCCGGTGACATCGTCCAAGAATGGCTGCAAACCCACGTTATGATATTGGACTCTTAATTTAAGTTTGTGGTCATTTGATAGTTAACTGCACATCTTTGAAGATTTTCGGGCAGAGGAGTGACATAATCCAATCTTTGGGAAGACTGTGGTGTGTAGGATTAGAAGAGGACGAGAAAGAGGGAAAAGCAGTGTGTGTGTGTCTGCGCGTGTGTGTGTTTGAAGTTATAACTATACATTTTGAGGCATGCGAGATGGGAGGACCTGACTCGGCACGAAGCGCAGTTAATGTAAAGGAAGGGACGGATGCGAAAGGGGCAAAGCTTGGTGTCTCAAAATAAGCAATGGCCTGGTGTCGGAAGACTCAGGTCCCAGAGCATGCTGCCGCTGCCAGCTTTGCAACGTTTCTCGAGTCTTTCCCGATGTGTAAGGCGGGAATGGCACTACCTCGTAGGGTTACAGGGAGCAGCGAGGGGACAGCGCCGGCAGCGCGCTCAGCACGCTGTCTGCAACAGGGTATCCGCGCCAATCTTGTTTTCTCCTCTATTAAGCTAAAGGCGGGGAGATACTACCATCCACGTCCCCGGGGTTGCCGTTAAGTAGTGAGGCTATGTATCGGGCATGTGGTAGGCACTCAACCCCAGTCCGTCGCCTCCCCTCGCCCCCACGCCGGGAGAATGCCAGGGAAAGCGAGCTCTCGCGCCCCGGCTCCTAGGCCTCCCCGCAACCGCGCTCCTCTCGCCGCGCGCTGTTGCCGGGGCCCGGGCACCGCCCAGCTCCAGCGCGGGCCAATGGCGGCGCGGCCCGGGCACCGCCCAGCTCCAGGACGGGCCAATGGCGGCGCGTCGCGGGCACCGCCCTGATCCGGCGCGGGCCAATAGCGGCGTGGCTCGGTGCGGGGGCCGCCTCCAGCGGAGTGGGGAGGCGGGGAGGCGGTCACCGGCTCCGCCCCGCTCCCCTCTGACCCGGTGTCTCGTCTCTCCGTCTTCCTGTTCCAAACCACGTGGACGCGCCGGGGGCTGCGGGAGGGAATCCTGGTCGCCACCGTTGCTGTCGTCGCCGCCGCCGGGGTCGCCGCCCCCGCGTCCGTCCGAAGTCACCGCGCCCCTGCCGCTCGTACCTTTGTGGAGGGCGCGCACATGGCGACCCAGGCGCACTCCCTCAGCTACGCGGGCTGCAACTTCTTGCGCCAGCGTCTGGTCCTGTCCACTCTGAGCGGGCGCCCCGTCAAAATCCGAAAGATTCGCGCCAGAGACGACAACCCGGGCCTCCGAGGTAACTCGGCGCGGGCAGCGCGCGGGGTGGGCGCGGGCCCAAGGCGTGACGGCGCTGATGCCCTGGGGGCCGGCGCGCGGGCAGCCTCCAGGTCTCGCGGGCGCGTTGAGGAGAGCGGGTGGCGCGTCGCCCCCACATTCCTACGCGCCAGAGGCTGTGGGGGAGGCGGGGTCGGGCCCCGAGGGGTGCGCTCAGTTGCGCGCTGCGCTTGGCGTCTCCGGGGCGCTGGTAGTAAACAGCTACACGTTTTCCAGCATTACGTGTTGCAACAAATCCCAGGCATCGCCCCCTGGCTTGGCTTCAGTCCCTTTTGCGCTCGCCATAAACCTCGCAAAGGAGAAGAACAGTTTGTTGGACCGAAATATGGTGAATGGGCAGATGTAAACATGCAGCGAGATTGGGAGAGAAAAGTACCACCAGCTGGTTCCGTGCTCTGTCCCGAAACAGGTCTGAGAAGCAGCTGCCCCCTTGGTCACCGGCTGTCCCTGTCGCCGTGATTTCTCGGCTGCCCTCACACCACTCCGTGAGTGTGCATTAAAGAATTTTAAAAAATTCTGTGTTTGTTTTCAGTCGTGACTGTGATTGATGTGCACAGGACAGGAGCTTTGAAATAAATTTTTGACAGTCATGGGCCTAATTGCCTTGACTTCAGTAAAGGGTTGGTGACAAGCGCTAAACTACAGGCTTCCAAGCTCCGTTTTTGCCCTATAAAGGTAGATAGATTAAAAATAGGCCCCATTTAAACCCACATCGAGTTAAATGGCTCCGATTTTCAACTGGTCCCCTGGAATAAAATACGTGCATTTAAAAGCTTCTGTCTGGTTATCCCAAATTGGGAGACTCAGTTAAAGAAAAGAAGGAAAAATCTGTCTGCACATTGAAGGAGAGGGTTTGTGGTTGGTCCTGGAAGCTTTCTGGGTCGAGTTGATGTGTTTAATTTTGTGTCGGCTCCTGTTCTAGGTGGCCAGCCCATTTCATCATCTGTCTGAATTCGTTTTCTGAACAGTTACATTTCTGCCTGTCTTGAATGATGACTGGTTGCACATAAGGGGAAAATGCCATGTCATTGATGGAGATAGAGTTAGGAAGGAAAGAACCAGAAGACCCTTCATACCATGGAGAGGAACCTGGTGACAGTAGGAAAGGCTCGCCTTAGTCCATGATTACTGCCCTCGAGGTACTGCTCAGAAACACGGAGGAAGTTAAGGAGGGACTACTAGCGTCATTTATGCTGGATGCTCTTCCTCTCAACCTCTCTTGTCCTTATGTTGAGTCTGGCCCTTGGGCAAAGCAATTGCTTAATTGCTCTACTCTGTGTCATTCCCAGCCAGCTCTCCCCTTCACTCCCAGATTAGCCTGGAGAACTCACCACTAGCTGGATATGGTAATAAGACAGGTTTCTGCTTCTGTGAACACTGGGCATAGTTTTTTTTTTTTGGAGAAATAGAATACTTTAGCCTGGAGACCTGGGATTTCTAATGGAAACAAGTGCCCATAAGATACAGTTTAGTGTTTGTCTCTTGACCAGTGGCCTCCAAACTAATATTTAATGTTCCAAAGGATGTTTCCCTCTCTCCCCCCTCCACTGTTTGTGAGCATCTCTTCACTGCCCCCCCCCCACACATAGACGTGCGCGCGCGTGCAAACTCCCATTTCTTCCAACAGGGCTTGGCCACTTGGCACTTTGCTGAAAGGGTGCCAGACTCTGGTACCTGGAGGAGGTAGTACTGGTTGGCAGATGTGCTGGTATTTTATGGGAAGCACTATGTAGAGCATTATTTGCCTTACCTTAATAATATACCAGGGGAAAAAGAGGCCCCTAATTTAGACCTCTGTGCTGGCTTCAAGGCCTCAGAAACCTTGTAGACATTTGCTTAATTTCTTATTGAGGGAATTGAGATGTATGTATATACATGTATTCATAGATACACACGTATATGTGTATACATATACATACACATGTAAGTGTATATATATATACACACAGATACATAAATACATGTTGCCCCAACATATGATATGTGGTCGTAGTCAAGCAAGTCCTTGGTAGCTTGACTGAAGATGTAGCCAGCCAGCTGTGTTACTAGCCATCTGTCCCTTTCTGACCCTTCCTGAGTTAGATTCTGACAGTTGGAAAAATTCAGAGCATATCCAATAAAATCTTCAGCTCAAATGCAAGAATTACGTCTCTCAAAGGTACTTGCTTAAACATCCCTCCTGCTGTGGGCCTTGGAGGGTGGGGGTGGTCTGGAGGCCTTCTGCCTCAGGAGCAGTCATTCAGAAAAGGTTTGTTGAGCCCCAGTATGTGCAGGGCTCTGTGGGGGTGTAAACGTGAGAAGCTGGTTGCCCTGCTCTCAAGTAGCTTTCTAAGTAGGAAGACCCTGAGTGAGTAGCTTGAGTAACTTGAAGTAGGAAGAGTTGAATGTTGAAAAGGGGTTCAGCGGAGTTCAGAGCCGACTTCCCTGCAGATAGTGAAGGAGGGCTTTCTGGATCTGCTGATCTGGACAGATAGGATTGAGATGGTGGCTGCGAAAATCATTGTTGGTGAAAGATACAGCTTTTAAGTCAAAAGGTTCTTTGTCTTTATTACGTTGAGGTAAAATTTTTAATTTGTTGTGGATGTAGTAGCTTGGTGTTAAGAGCTTGGGCTCAGAGTTAGACCTTGGTTTGAGTCCTGATTCTGCCTTTTGCTATTAGCTCTCGGACCTTGGGCACATTATTTACATTTCTGAGCCTCAGTGTTTTATTTATGAAGTTGGGCCAGTACTACTGACTTTAGAGGGTTATTGTGAGCGTTAAATGAAATAATACTTCACAGTGCACTGAACAATGTCTGGCGTGTAGGAAGAAATAAATGTTAGCTGGTTTTATTATTATGTAACTTCTACCCACTGGGTATAGTTCCTGGCATCCGAAATCTGTTCCTGCTTCTATATGGATATTTTTCAAATATTTAAAGAGAATTGTGTCTTCTCTTTATCTTCTCTTTTCAGTCTAAAGTTTTCCTTTTAGGTGATGGCTTCCAAATATTTATGTGTTATATGTATAATGTAGTGGTTCTTACCTGGGGGCAGTTTTGCTCCCCAGGGGACATTTGGCAGTGTTTGGAGACATTTTTGGTTGTCACAGCTGGGAGGCTGCTCCTGGCATCTAGTGGGTAGAGCCCAGGGATGCCGCTAAACATCCTACAATGCACTGGACAGCTCCCCACACAAAGAATTATTCTGTCCAAAATATCAGTAGTGCCAATGTTGAAAAACCCTGGCCTACTGGACTTAATTATTAAGCCTGTTCTTTTCATCTTGTCCCTAATGGTTGAGAATAACAGCATGTGGTACCAAGAAAACTGCATAAGGATTCGGAAGGGGATGAAGCACAGGTCAGACTTTGTGCCTTCAGGCAGAGCAGTTAATCTCTTAAATAAAACTGCCTCCTTCTAAATGCAGAGCAATTGTAAATGAGAAGTATTTGAACCCCAAAGAAAGATGATCCTGGAATGGTTTTTATTAATTGTATAGCCACATGTGTACTTTTTGCTTCACTCTTGAGGGACGTGCGTGAACAATCATCTTGTCTCATTAGACTCCTCCTGTTAGGAGGAAATAAATATTTTTTGTTGTTGTTTTACTGAAGGTAAAAAACCCCAAGACATAGTTAAGTAAGATAGCTGGTGACGTTGAACATCCACTGAGTGACAGAGCTGGAGAGAGGTTGCAGCCAGCTCCAGCCTGGAGGGCCTGTTCTCCCATCTGACTGCATGATGGACTTGGGTGTCCTCATCGTATTGTAAAGCAGCTGTTCAGACTGCCTCTGTCTCTGGATTTCATGAGGGCTGTGTCTCGCAGGGTTCAGTTGAGTTAATATTTTCTGGGTAAGGTGAGGTCCAAATGGAAAGAATTCCACGAGAGTGATAATTGTTTCAAGTGAGAATACAGAAATGGTGGACTTGGGCAAGAGCGCTGGTTTAGCAGTTAGGACACGGAACTGCTGCTACGCAGGTTCCTGAGCAGGTCACATGACTAAGCCTCACTGTGCTCTCCTGGGAAACTGGAGAGAGGGTTTATTTGGTCCATGGGATGCTACACATGGCTTAAGCAGAGATTCTGAAAAAGGAGGAGTAAGCAGAGTTTTAATCAAAAGAATCCTTTAAAATGTGCTGAGGAAACATGCTACATAGAGGTCCTTTGAAGGGTAAAACACCTTTTGGTAAACTGATACGTTATTTTGGAGATAAATCTGGCTCTTCATAAATTGGATGTTCTAAAAGGAGGATTGTAAGGGAACACTCTATTTTTCTCCTCTACTCTGAATACTTCTGACACCAGATGTGTGAGTTTTTTCCCCATATCAAGCAATTCCCCAATTCTCAGCAGACACCAACTGAATGTCCTACAAAGTTAACTCAGTTCTGATGCTCTCTACATAGCAATAGCATCAGAGCGTGCAGGTTAAGGGCTCAGTTCCACAAAACTGTCCCCAACTTCAGGTGCCAGTCATGAGTCCCAGTCACAAGTCCGGGCCACTTGTACTTCTGACCAACCAGCTATAAATCGGGGGTTCTCACAACCCCCTCCTTGGGTCTGATAATTTGCTAAAATGGCTCACAAAGCTCAGGACAACATTTACTTACACTTACCAGTTTATTATAAAGGATATTATATAAAGGATACGATGAACAGCCAGATGAAGAGGTACATGGGGCCAAGTCTGGAAGGGATCTGAAGCAGGAGCTTCTGTCCTTGTGGAACTGGGCTGTGCTACCCTCCCAGAACGTGGATTCCTTCACCAACTTGGAAATTCTCTCCTTGGTCAAGAGTTTTTATAGGGCTTAATTTCCAGGCACCCTTCTCTTTTCAGAGGTCAGTGAGTAGGGCTGAAGGTTTCAACCGTCTAATCATTTGGTATTTCTGGTGACCAACCCCATCCTGAGGCTATCTAGGGGCCCCACCCTAAGTCATCTCATCACTGTAAACCCAGGTGTGCTTAAAAGGGGTGCTTAT